CAATAGTTAAAGCACACTTTAGCCTTAAAAGCCATTAATAAAACTGTGATATTCATAAACAAATAATAAACGTATATTAACTATTGTGCTGATTTATGTTTAAGTTGGCAGCACTGTACAATATGGCTGTCATTTTATGTGTTAGTGTTGCGTACAATTAGGATAAAATAATCGTTGATTCGGTTTTCTTAATTTCATATTTTTGTTTATAATAGATTTTTGACAATAAAAACAAACCTTTAAGAAAAATAAATATATATATGGTTTTAATAAATGTCTATTTAGTTCAGATGTATAAATATAACATATAATTTCTAATTATTATTAAAAGTATCCGAATAACGGATATTTTGCGACAAAATATACATCACTATGACACATTTTCTTATTTTTACTTATTTTCCTTGTAATTTTTGATAAATTTTTGCAAATATTGATAAATTTCTTTGATATTTGACTAATTTTAATGCCGGCGAATATATTTTGCATTAGTATAACACTAATCAATATAATTTACATGGTTAATTACTTTATGGCATTATATTTAACCAACAAACTTTGAAAAAGCCAAATCAAATGATTTTGTCCATCATTTGGTTGACAGACGGGCATTTCCAAATTGCCTAAAAATAGTGCTGGACAATTGGAATATTGTCAAATATTCATGCATTAATCCAATAATGCCTAGATTTGAGTTTTTTCCTCAAAATATAATCGTTTAAAAATTTTCTGGGATTTTATTTACAAATTTGTAAACGTTAAAATTAGAATTTTTAGATTTTATTTTAAAAGAAACCATAATTAGTTTTCGCAATCAACCTAAAATTACCGGAAAAATCTTTATCTGAGAAAAAATTGTTAAAAATCGAGTTATTGTTGGCTTAAAGAAGGGTCGAGCCTACAATAAAATAAATAATAATTGTCAATGGTTTATTGAAGGTGTTTTAAGCTATTTCACGTTTATAAATACGATTTTCCTGAATTTTGTCTAAAATTGTTTAATAAACCTAAAATAAGTTTTTATAAATACAGCCGTAAATCTACAATAACTATTCTAATTTCAATGAAATTTCTGGGACGGCTTTACGGCTATAATTGTTTTTTCTCTAAAGATAATTTTAGCATTTCAATTTACTTTAATTTCGACTTATTTTTCCATATATTTTTCATGTAAAGTATACTACAATCATGTTCAAAAACATCTCAGTTCAACGTGTTTAATTATAAAACACACGTTTTTTTTAGTTGAAGGGGTTAAACAAATTTTAATTAAATAAATTTTAAATAAAAAACATAACTGTTTAAACATGAACATAAACATTTTCCTTAAAATCAACATTACAAAATAAACTTTAAATATAACACCCAAAATTCACAGTGAATACAACTCTAAAAAAAGAAGAAGCATTAATGACATTAATAAAAATAAAACTTTCAAGTTGGCAACGCCATGCTGTAAAAAATGTCAATTGACATTTTGTCATTTTCTTTCTTTCTTTGTTGAATCGTCAAACCGAATGTACGTAAAATTTTCCAAGTGTTTCAAAAAATTAATAAAATATTAAAATATATTCAGAAATATTTAGAAATTTTATTAAAATATTAAAGTTTTCCAACTATATTTTAATAAAATACTAAAATTTATAAAAATTCTAAGCAGATGTTTAAGATATAACAAGATGAAAAATATTAACCTAACTTTTTTTCGCTGTACCTTTAAAATAGAATCGGGTTGATTTGGTGCCAACATGGTGAACGGACGTATACCCTCGGTCTTCTCGAAGACTTATGTTACTCCTCGTCGTCCTTATGAAAAGGCTCGCTTGGACCAGGAATTGAAGATCATTGGTGAATATGGTCTCCGTAACAAGCGTGAAGTCTGGCGTGTCAAGTACGCTTTGGCCAAAATCCGTAAGGCTGCTCGTGAATTGTTGACTTTGGATGAGAAAGACGAAAAGAGATTGTTCCAAGGTATGTATTGTTTCCCAAAAGGAATTTGTTTTTAAAGCTGTTTGTGATGATTTTGTATTATTATATGACACTTCTTGTCTGAGCTAAACTTTGAAGATTTACAAATGCTGAGTGTAATACAAAACCAAATCAATTATTAACTTAAGACAAGTTTTTAAATATATTTTTTCCTTAACTTTTAGGTAATGCCTTGTTGCGTCGTTTGGTACGTATTGGTGTTTTGGATGAATCCCGCATGAAGCTCGATTACGTTTTGGGCTTGAAAATCGAAGATTTCTTGGAACGCCGTTTGCAAACTCAAGTCTTCAAATTGGGATTGGCCAAATCAATCCATCATGCTCGTGTCTTGATCCGTCAACGTCACATTCGGTAATTATCTGCTCTAATTAAGGGCTTCGCGCCTTTGGATTGAAATTTAACAAAACAACAGAAAAAACCTTGATATGAAAATTGTTCAGTAAGACCACTTGGGAGTCGAACAAATTACCCTGAGTAGTACAAGGAGGTAGGGGGTTTTTTGTACCGGCTCTCAACGTCTTTTGGTAATTGGTTTTGAATTCTAAACACATGCTTAAGTGTTACAGAATAACCAATTTAGTTTAGGTCCAGCCTAAACAAAATGCCGAGTAAGTTACTGCAAAAAGAAACTTCGAACTGAACCTCAAGAGTCACTCTTAAAGAGACCTCCTTTTTTGTTTTATTTTACTTTTTAATTTTTTACTGATTATTTGTTTTTTCTATTTTATTATTTGTAGTGTCCGCAAACAGGTTGTTAACATTCCTTCCTTTGTGGTCCGTTTGGATTCCCAGAAACACATCGATTTCTCTTTGAAATCTCCCTTCGGTGGTGGCCGCCCCGGTCGCGTGAAGAGGAAGAACATGAAGAAGAACACTGGCAGCGGTGCCGCCGCCGAAGAAGAGGAAGATTAAACTATCAAATCTTCATCCTCTTCGTAATTTTTCTTAAGGATTTAAATATTTTTTATTTCTGCGTTTGTTTCAAAATGTGGACGTAAATTATGGAAAAATAAAAAGTAAATTTTTTTAATTTTGAAAATTAATTATTTTGTTTTATTTACACAAATTGGTTGTTTAGTCCGGGATAGATAGCTAAGCGAGATATAGGCGGGCAAGAATTAGTTTTTTACGAATATCTGGGTTAATGTCATATGCGCTCTTAAGCTATTATAATTTATACAGAGGATTAAATTTCCAACATTTTGTATATTATTAGTGACAATTTTCATTAACTATCTGAAATTCCTGAGTTTGCTAAATCGACTAATTTTTCTGGGCTGGAAAAAGTTTTTTTATTGAGCTACTTCTGTTTCAGTAGTTCTCTTTATTACTTCAAAACTAGATATAGTGGTACAAGTTATGATACAATGAAAAAATAATTGTAGATCCTATAATGATCCAACCATTCACAGAAATTGTAGAAAAATAATTTTTTTCATAAAACTAATACGAATTATGCAAATGGGTTATTTTTTTAAATTTCGATTAAAGAATCTATTTAATCTGACTTCTTTTTTAGTAAAAAAAAGTAAAATTGTTAAGGAAAACCTGACCTTATATTAACATTTTTAAATTCTTTTTGGTTCTATGGGGTTCAAAACATTCCGAGGCCCTATATCCTAGCCATAATTTTTGGGTGATTATAATGCTTTGAAACAATTATATATATAACACATGATATACATATAAATATTAGAGCGATACTCAGATAAAGATGTATAGTGGATTTGATAAATTGTGGACCAAGTGCAAACATTAATAAGGGATTCAATTGTATCCTATAAAATAACACAGACCAACATATTTTAAATTCAGAGACCAAAGAGTAGTTTTCTATTTATAGCTGCACTGAATTCGATTCTGAATTTCTAAATCAAAGGTTTTCGAGATATCATGTCCTAAATATTCTTCGAGATATCTTGAAACTGTTTTAAATTTACAAAATCTGAATTTTTTACTCATTTCGTCCTTATTTTGTGACAAACTTATGTGGCACAATTTGTCATAATTATACCCTGCACCACCATAGTGGGGAGCGTATTATACGTTTGTGCTGATATTTGTAACGCACAAAAATATTGGTCCTACACCCTAAACTATACGGATCAACTCAGAATTACTTTCTGAGTCAATTAAGCCATGTCCGTCCGACTGGCTCGCTATCCATGTAAACTTTGTGCGCAAGGTACAGGTTGCAATTTTCAAGATATTTTGATTAAATTTGGACCATACGTGTTTTTCCCAACGATGAAGCCCATTGAAAAAGGTTGAAATCGGTCCATTATTTCACCTAGCCCCCATACAACCCTACCCCCCTTCAGAAATGTATACCTTGTAAAAAACTAGTTTAAGTCCAACTGATTAGGGTTCAATTGTGATACAATTTTTACAATATCCTAGATCCAACAGCTACATTTATCCTGGAAACAGTTTGTGTGAATAGTATGTATTAATTTTATATTATTTTTAAATATCTAGTCACACTTTTTATATAGCCGGCCTTTGACAGGTCTAACTAAAAATTAGCAAAAGTCTTGTCTTGAGATCCTAAGGCCAAAATTTACCATTCATTCCGTGTACTAAAAGAGATATTGAATACAAATAATTCTAAAACATAATTTTTAAACTGTATTCAAAGTTAAGTTAAGTTAATTTTATTTAATTCTTTTAATATTCATACATATAGAAGTTACAACAGATCTGATATAAAGAAAACTTAAAATTTTAATGTTTTTTTTTAATACAAAATATTGTTTACAGCAACAAGCTTGTCAGTTAAACTGTATTCAAACTTTTTGTTTAATAATTTAAAAAATACGTTAAAACGTTTTTTAATTTGTTTTCTATCTAACTGGCAGCATTTTTTTATAAAAAAGTTTATTTTCAACAAAAAAATCCTAAACATTAAATTTACATTTAACTTAAAAATAGCTAAATTACCAACACTGTTTTTCCGTTATCATGACATTTCTTTTGATAAACAATTCTAAACACACAACAACAATTTGACACTTTCTTTTAGCAAACGAACAAAAAAGTTGCAACGATTGAAAGCAAAACGAAAGAAAAAACCTTGAACTTCTCTTCATTCCTGAGTTTTCGGTTTCTGTTGTTTGATGGTGGTGGCTTGCCTGCATCTTTTTGTTTGTTACGTTTCGGCATAGAAAATTTGTTACAAAAAAATTGTTTGCAAAATTAATTCAAACGCCGAAAAAAAACATAAATCTAATAAAATGCCCAAGGCAAATAAAGTGAACGTTAAGGAAAAAGTTGAGGATAATGTGTGCGATTTAAGTTTGTCCGAATTGAGGGAGATTCCCGTCAAAGAAATCGTAAGTATGGGAAACGAACGGCCTATTGTGTAGAAAATGCAAACAAAAAACCAAGTGCCATACAAATTGGAATAATGGAAGAAAAAAAAAAGAAACCTTGTAACGAAAGTGAAAGTTCCATGAAGGACTGTTGCAGTAAAAGTTTTTAATTATATTAATGGTCATACTCTTGATGGGTTTATGTTGTACAATTGTAAATGTAAAGTATAACCGAAAGTGATGAAATAATAGTGTGGTTCCATTTTTGGAAACACACCCTTTTTTCTAAATTCATTTTCGAGCTATGTCTATATTAGAAATTCACCAGCTTGTGTATCCATCCATTTTTAACCCTCAAACCATATTTTCTGCACATATGCAAACACAATCATACTTATTTGAATGTTTGCGCTGTGGGTCACAATACTGCAGCAGCAACATACAGTTGCAGTGCAAACTGTGAAAGTTATGTTGGGTTTATAGTGTTAAAAAGGTACCATGGTATTTTTTTCGATTATGAAAGCTTTCTGACTTTAGCTCCGTCTTCATTTGTCTTTTGTATATGAATCCTTGTCCTTCCAAGGGACCAAACAAATTACCCTACAAAACCGGGGCATATTAAATGAAATGCAATGAGAAAATTTGTTCAGATTGTACTTCAGTTGATTGAAAAACTTTAAAGTAAGGAGTTGAAGTTGTTGATCAGATGTGAATAATTATATCTTTTATAGGATGGCTTTGTCTAGGAGAACAAATCTCGGACTTATAAGAGCAAATACTTCCGCAAATATTTAGATATTATATACCTATATGTACTTTGTCTTTGATCTTCCCTACGAAATATCTGTATTCTCTGGAAGTTTCTGTTTGAATGTGTTCTCAAAAGACATGTGAAGGTACCACCAGAGTTTTAATGTGTGAAATCTTCCAATTGCCTGCCAGAAGAGACTTAAGTAAAACAGGATACAGCCTTTAAAAAAAAGTATTGTCTTCCAAATGCTTGGAAAGATTATGGCAAGTAATAAAAAATAGCTCTTCGAAATGCTTAGAACTAGGTATAAAGTATCTTAAAAAGGAACTAAAAGATATCCCACTAATTTACCCATCACTGTGATAAAACGAAAGAGTTTTGCGGTTTGGCCTGAATAAATAAAATCTTGCACTTTCTCATGTTATTGCAATTCTTCTTTATTTTCTTTTTCCGTTTTACTTGTCTCGCCAGTTTAATGCATTAAATAACGGTGAGTGCAGGAAAAACAGGGTTGCTCTTGTGTATACGGTTTTATTTAAATTTTTGGCAATTTTTTTTTCTTTCAGTATTGATATTGAATTCTCCTCTTTGTTTTTTACAGGCTTCCTTTAAGCGTGTAAATGTATTGGATTTATCTAGTAATCGTTTGATGTCTTTGGGTGTAAGTACATATCGACTTTTTTGTCTGTTTGAAGATTTAAAAAAATTTTGTTTATATTGCAGAAAAATTTTAGCTCCCTAACACGTTTGGTTAAGTTGGATTTGAGTAAAAATCAAATAAAATTTTTACCCGAAGACTTTGGCCTCTTGAGAAATTTAAGACATTTGGATTTGTACAACAATCAATTGGAACATTTGCCTTTGAGTTTTGGTGATTTAACAAATTTAAGATATTTAGATCTTAAAGGCAATCCCTTGACACCAGCTTTAACGAAGATAGTGGGCATTTGTACAACAACAAAGGATTGTCAAGATTCGGCTAAGAGAACGGTGGGTATTCGGGTGTTATAGATAGATAGATAGATAGATAGATAGATAGATAGATAGATAGATAGATAGATAGATAGATAGATAGATAGATAGATAGATAGATAGATAGATAGATAGATAGATAGATAGATAGATAGATAGATAGATAGATAGATAGATAGATAGATAGATAGATAGATAGATAGATAGATAGATATGATAGATAGATAGATAGATAGATAGATAGATAGATAGATAGATAGATAGATAGATAGATAGATAGATAGATAGATAGATAGATAGATAGATAGATAGATAGATAGATAGATAGATAGATAGATAGATAGATAGATAGATAGATAGATAGATAGATAGATAGATAGATAGATAGATAGATAGATAGATAGATAGATAGATAGATAGATAGATAGATAGATAGATAGATAGATAGATAGATAGATAGATAGATAGATAGATAGA